TAAACAGTGTCTCAAAATCTCAATGCTGAAACCTGCCGGACAGGGACCGAAAGTCAGGTAACCTCACAGAGCAGTTGTGATCGGTCTCATCCACCAGTCTGTTTTAGAAGGATTTGAGACTGAGTTTGCTTCCTACAGCGATGTCAATGTCTTCAGCAATTTACAATGTCTTATGTTACAGTGACACATAGTGAAACAGAACCACTCTGAGCTGCCTTGAAGTAGAGCAGTTAATGACAATATAACCACTAAACAGCATGAGAGTAGTTCTCTGGGCCTCAGTTTATTATGGGTTATAAAACTTTGGACTTTTTCCATGAATTGAAGATACCTTGGGAGCCTTCGAACCCCATTTTGAAAACCCCAGAACACCTGGATAAAGAATTCTACTAAAACATTTTCCAGTGCCAGCTGAGATGGGGGGGGATGCATTTAAGGACGTAAAACATGTTACAAACTGGAGGACACCTTTCAGTCCATCTAGCCTGTTTGGTCATTAGTAGTTAATTGATCCCATTATTTTGTCTGGCCATTTCTTGAGGAACGTCAGGGTATCAGCTTCTACAATATGGCTGGGTTGCTTGTTCCACACCCCCAGCACCCTTTGTGTAAAGACGTGGCTTCTCTTTTCCTGCATGCTACCATTCTTCACTCCAGTGCTGATATGTCTGTGTCTGTCTTCTAGGTTCCAGGATGAAACCATCCACAAAAGCTGAGAAGAACAAAGACTGCCAGCTGTGCTCCAGCCCTCCCACAGTGAGACCAGTGTGGCTAATAGTGAAGATGGCTGCCCACAGGAGGCCAGGTTACACTGGTGTCCACAGCTGAGTGTCAGTCAGCCGACAGTCAAGAAAGGGCTGTTTCTCGTTCACCGTAAGGGGCTGCAGGGTCACACTGTGTCTCACTGAGTCACACCCTCCACCTTCTCGAGTGGTTTCCAAAAAACATTTCTGATCTGTGTTCAACGGGAAGGCGCAAGTGGCTGTGTCTGATCTTCACAGGGGAACTGCAAAGCTATTTTTCATATTTCCAGGTTAGACAGAATCTGCGATGATGAGTGCATTTCCAGAAACACTAAAAGTAAAATGTACACAGTAACGTGTTAAACCTCCAATTGACATCACAAAATAGACGAAATTTCCAGGTGTGTGCAGCGCCTTGTTCTTAGAGAACGAGGCAACAAAAAATGCAGTAATTTGACACAGACTTCTTACATTGTAAACAAGCAGGCTTGTGAATACATCTCTTTTAATCCAATAGAAATATTGCTGTCAATTTTGAGATGGTTTTGCCGACAAATGCTACTTGTTAACTCTGCACGCAGATCACGCTGGGACATTTCTGCTGTGAAATGTCTGCTGCACAACTTGCACTTCTTCGCTCGTGCATCACAGTACATTAGTAAACATGTAGTGACTAGTGAGCAGGAAGGGCCGCTTCACGTCACGGTTTTCGGGAACTCTCGCTCTCTCCCATGGCGAGACCAGGGGTTGGTGACAACGTGGTGACTTATGGTACTTTTCACCAACTTCCCGATTTTGTGGCTTAATTCGAAAGTGGTAACGTTTTTCTATACCGTCAATGAATTTATTTGGTTACCGAGATTTAAGAACCGGTCTGAGAAATTGGGACTGCAGTTCCCCTTTAAGGATTAGCGGGAGAAAAATGGGAATGCTGTCGACATTCTTCAAGGGAGGGGTGCAGCGCTATGAAATCTCCTCCGTTTTGTTTTTTTACCTTGAATTGTATATGTATGTTTTTTGTATTTTGTCACAGCTCCGCAAGTGCCCACATGCAGTAGAGCTACTTAGAGACTTTTCTGTGAAAAATGGAAGCAGCCCTAACTCAAAGTGCTGGAATTAGCAGGGTTGTGGGGGGGGGGGGTGTAATTCCTCATGTCCCCTCTCTCTCCTGCGTGCTGCATTCACTATTGTACTGTAAGAGGAGACTGCACTGGAGACTTGAATAGCATCTTATTGTAGCGCTCTCGGGTTCACGTGGGTATGCGCCCTTGCCACTGTCGACTCAGGTCGACCCCCCCACCGCTGGGGACTTGAACCCGGGCCTCCGGCGTCACTCAACGGGGACCCAGCCAGTCGAGCTTAAGGGAAATCTCCTGTCAGCCCGGCGGCTGAGGTCCCTGCTATTCACAGGGAAGGGCGGTGACGTCACTGCGCTGGTAAGCCGGCTCGCACAACCTGTAATGTTTGCCGTATGCGTAACATTATTCTTGACCGGACGTCTGCAATGTGAATTCCAAGTAGCAGTGTCACATTGGTCATGTAAGTTTGACAATATAAGGATCTAAGAATATTTGTGATTTCATGTTGAAAGGGCTACAAGTTTAGTCTTTGAGGTACTTGAAAAAGCTGAGAGGACAGACACAGTGTCCAGGTGAACAGCATCATTGCTTTTAAATGGCTGAAAGCCAGTGCTCAGTGTTTATAGTGATCGCCTATTCTGATAGATAGGATCTAAAGACGCTAGGCCTGACTGCGTCTTCGAGGCGATGGTCTGACAGTATAGCCTGCCTGAGGCCGGAGAGCATCCAGCACAGAGTTTCTGCTGCACACATTTATAACTTTCAGGGAATTAAATCGTAGGAGAAACATGAGTTCTGGAATCACTGGGAGTCTGGAATCAGTCTTTACATCTGTACTGTAACTGTGCTGAGTCATGCTCTTTGATAAGCCATCTCCTTAGTATAGAGTTTATGTTGTGCTTGTGAGAACAGCCCTGTAAATATAAATTAACAGGGGAGTGAAGTGTAGAGTTAGGGTGACACAGTGGTAAGCAGTGCCTCACAGCACTGGAGCCCTGGGTTCAACTCCATGCCTGGGGCACTGTTTGTGTGGTGTTTGTATGTTGTCCCCGTGTTCATGTGGGTTTCTTCCCACAGTGCAAAGACATACTGGTAGTTGTTTTAGTAAGAACTTTATTTTCTTTTCACAAATAAATGCAGAGATCAGAAAATAGAAAACTTTACATGTGTGTATATATATACACACCTAAAACAGCACTGTATATACTGTATGAACTCATCTTGTTACGGTTAAAAAAAGGCAACAGTTAAATAACAATAATTACCTTTGTTCAGGTGCATTAGTTCATGTCATTTTCAGTGACTTCCAGAAAAAGGACAAATGCAATTTACATGTGTCAGGAAGCGTTTTTTCCGGACCCTATGCAGACGACACGATCCAGGGTTGAGTGAGGAAACACGAGGAAAAAAGGTCATGCAGGATACGGGGATGAAAACAGGGGGGCGTGTCCATGGAGTGCTGGTGGTCGGGGGAGGTGCAACCGAGGCAAACGATCCAGGGATGAGACAAACGGGAAATCCGAAAAACAGGGCAAAAGTCCAAGGCCAGGCGATCCATACGAGACAGACGATTAAAATCCAGAACCGGGTCGGGACCGGCAGGGGGAACAGGAACGGGAAAAAGAAACAGAACCTAAAACCCTAACGGAACCAGGCGCATCCAGGTCCCGGGCTTGCGTGATGCGGGAACCAATGCACAGCCGGGATTAGCGACAGAGTCTGGCTTTTAAGGCGGAACTGAAAAGGCTGGAACAGGGAACAGGTGCAGGGAATGAGGCAAACAAGGAAGGGCTGGAGCGCCCTTAAGAGGAAGGGTTAGCGATCGTGACAACATGATAATCAGTATCATAGGTTTTTGAGATTCAGTCCTATGCCCTCTATTTTCCACAGATTTTCTGCTTCCTCCTTCCCTACTCTCCACAGGTCTGTGGGGTATCTATGTATTGTCTCTAATAATGGACAGGGCCAGGCTACCTGGTGCCTTGACTGGGACCTCGATCCCTTTGAACACCCCCGTGTTCCTCACCCTCCACAGGGCGTCCTTTCCACTGTTCACTACGGCCTAAACCCTGTCAAGCACGTAATGCGGTGGTTTGACGGGAGAGATGCTGTATATAATGACGGCAGCGGGCAGGGAAAAGTGAGGGGAAAGGGCCTGTTAACCAGTCCACAAACTGGACCCAGAAAGCCTAAGCGACATGGCAGGACCACAGGAGATGGGTCACAATGTCCTCCTCGCTGCATACAGGAGAAATGCTGGTAGATGAGTTACCCTCTGGGAAAATTAGTCGTGGTGTGAGAATGTGTATGTTTCTGGACCCTGCCTTGCGCCCAGTGCTTGCTGGGATAGGCTCCATCTCCCCTGCGACCCTGAATTGGATGAAGTGCTTAGAAAATGGATGGATTTATGTGAAATAACACTCAATGAGGGAAAATGACACTCACTTTGATACTGAACAGGAAATGAATGTGATTTACTCTCCTTTTCTCGTTTGGTTTTGCATGATTTTGGTTTCTATGCGCCATCTTTCCAACACATGGTCAGCGGCATCTGTCAGCGGCGGCCCGCGTCTAATATACTTTTCTCAGGCGTGCTTGCAGTTACTACTTCTGTCCATCAGAGGGAGACATGCTTTCAATTTTGATCGGAGCTTTTCTCTTTAAGTCCGGGTTCACCCTAATTCTCCTTTCAGAGCTTCAGGTTGTGCTTTGTTTTTCCCAAATTCAGTATTATGTTTGGGAGTAAATTGAAATGTTAATCAGCAATGTAAAGATACAGGTAGATCAAACCATTGTTATTAGAGTTAAATTATAGGAATTTAGCTGTTAACTTAGGTGGAAACCTGCAAAGCAGGCGGAAATAATATTTCACAGACGACAAACAGAGATTGACCTTCGTCTGATAAAGTTGTTTTGTCTGCTTTATGCTTATGCTGGTACAAGTTGGGAAGATGATTTCTATGTAAGGGATTATCTGCATATACTGCACAGATAGTCCACAGGCAATCCTATGGGCACATACAGTAGTCTCACCTGCCAATTTACAAAGGAGACTAAAGAGCCAAACCAGATTGAGACAGGAGCCCAGTAAGAGAGCAGAAGCAGAAAGGTACTGCCTCTTTTTCATTATGTGATTTAAGACTGTTTATCCCTTTTTCATGTGATAACTGGAACTATAGAGGAATATGACTTATGAACAAAGCCACTACAGCAACAGCAACATTAAGAGCTCTTAAGAGGACATTGTCTGTCAGAAAGCAGTGCTTTTGTTGAACATTTGAAATATACTATGTTTTAATATTATTTATTTTATATCTTTGGCTGTTTTTTTTAGACTTTATTAAAACAAAAACATTGTCTTAACTGGTAATATTGACAGGTACCCTATGCAAAAAAAAAGCAACCAAGCTGTGCAATGCATTGTGCCTTTCTGTATATTTATTTCCAAATAAAACTATTTTATGAAACAAACGTGTTTCGTTCTGCTGAGTTTTGCGGGCTCCGATCACTTCTCTTTGAAATATTGGAGGCGGAGAATGAGAGAGGGAGGAAAGAAAAAAGAAGATTAAAGAAGGATGAAATAAATTGTCAGAACAGAAGGTGAGTAACAACGGAGACCCATCGTATTCGTTTTGGCTGTTGGTACCTCACTGACCTGACTATCTACTTCCAGCTGTGCCTTAAAGGAGCCCAGGGAATCTACTGCAAAAACACTGCTGGGTTACCTATTCCAGAAAACACACCACCTCCTATTCTCTCTCCCTCACAAACCGAGGGATATTGATTGACTCTGCCAGGAGCTTTTAGGACTCTAAGTGCATTGTTAACACCAGAAGTCATATCATCCTGCAACTCACAGCTGGAGACTCACTGAAGCTCAGCAGGTGTGAGTCTGGTCAGTACCTGGATGGGAGACCTCCTGGGAAAGCTAAGGTTTGGAAGTGGTGTTAGTAGGGCCAGTAGGGGGCGCTCACCCTGCAGTCTGTGTGGGGCCTAATGCCCTAGTATAGTGACGGGGACACTATACTGTCAAAAAGCACCGTCTATCGGATGAGACGTAAAAAATGAGATCCTGGCTCCCAGTGGTCATTAAAAATCCCAGGGTGTTTCTTGAAAAGAGTAGGGGTGTAACCCCGCCGTCCTGGCCAAATTTCCCATTGGCCTTTACCAATCGTGGCCTCCTAATAATCCCCCTCTATAAATTGGATTCCTCACTCTGTTCTCCTCCCCACCGATAGCTGGTATGTGGTGAGTGTACTGTGTGCATTATGGCTGCTGTTGTAGCATCATCCAGGTGGGGCTGCACACTGGTGGTGGAGGGGAGTCTAGAAAAGTGCTATATCAGTGTAAGGCATTAATTAATATTATCGTGTGCCCTCATAATCTCCTCTGGCCATGTCAGAAGAGATTCAGTTCCTTAATCTGTGTCCAATCTTCCTATATTGTCCAATATTGCTCTTCTTTGAACTCTTAAATCGGTGATGTCATTTTTACAGTGCATCATGAGACTTGAATGTCTACAGTGTTCTCCGTGAAGCAGAACTTGTGCTTGGACTTGACATTGGCTTCATTTCAATTTCAGTTTGAAACAAAAATCCTTAAAAATCCTTGTGGGTCTTACAGGTCACCCACAGATCTAAAAAAAATGAACTGTACAAAAGGTTTGACAAAATCTGTTCATTTTCAACAGTATTAGTGCTGGGAGTTGCGATGAGCTTGTCCTGAGCTTGCTGGATTTTGGAAGCTAAGCAGGGCCGGAATGGTACTGGAATGGGAGACTTCCCAGGAAAACTGTTCTGCTGTTTTAAATTGTGTCAAGGAACTAACAGATCCCTCAGGAATTGAATTCCAAACTAATCTCCCAGTATGGTGACTGGTGGCTCTGTGGTGTAGGAGGATCCCTCAAGTAAATCAGTAATAATTCCACGTATTCAGCCGATGGGTATGTTACAGCCTGGCTGCTGGCTCTGAATGGGTCTTGCGCTTTGCCAGGGTGGCTAACGGATGAAGGAATTTGCCTTCTATATGTGAAGTGTTTTGGTATAAAAAGCACTATGCAAAGGGAAGCAATTATTGAATACTATTGGTTCCGGGATTAACTCTTTTAAAGAAAGAGAATTGTGTTTAGGGAATTGATTTTGTGTCAATGTTTCGCCAAAACAACTTCCATTCAGTAAGTTACTAAATAACTTTCCGCTATTCTTTTATTAGGGAGAAATTAAGCCTATCAATACCTAGGATTACTTTAAAACCTTATTAGGGGGTGTAATAAAAACCACATAAAATCTGTTATTCGGTCTTGTTTTACGCCACCCCTTAATAATGATTTCCTTGAAAAGTGTAAGCTGCCTTTTAACCCGACAGTTTTCAAATTAAGATGGGGTAGGGGGCACGTGATCGGTGAGTTCGCTTTATTTCCTGTTCTCAGACAAAAACGGCTCCTCGAGGCGGATGCTGGAATACGATCGACGGGCGAGCTGTCCAATCAGACCGCTCGTACGTTTCGCCGGTACCCAATCGAGAATCAGAATGAAGCTATAATTTTGATCGACACCACATTCAGCCAATAGGCGGCGTTATTGGGAGGCGGAAAGGCCTTGCAGGAAGGTCAGGCCGGGAGTACAGCTTGTTTTCCTGTAATGGCGGATCGCGGAGAGGCGGACGGCATAGCAAGATTTAACGACAACAGGTGAGGGAATGGCGAATGAACAAATTGGCGTCAAAGGGGTAGATTTATTTCTGAGGGCGACAAAGTTGGGGGATTGTTTGGCTATGAAACAGCATCCATATTTCTCTCTCGAGATGCGTTTTTCTTTCCCACATATGTTGTCTTGAAAGCGGCGATTAGCTTGTTGGCTACACACGTCTCGTCTGCATGACTGAAGAGTACTTTTTTTTGTCTCTTCGAGCAGTTCGGCTAGTTTTTTTGTAATCTGTTCGGAGCGAATGCTACTTCTTTGTTGCAGCCGTGTGCCGTCTTTGAAGTCTGCGTTTTGTAAAACTCGACGTTTGAGTCCCCAAAGCGAGAAAATACGAATGAATGAATTGGTGGATTTCGCGGAAGGCGAGTGTCTGTGTGTATGTATACACAACTATTAAACAGTGGGGAGGGGGGAGGACGCAGCATGATGGGCAGCCGAGGTTGATTAGCCCGCAGTTAATGTATCAGTCGTAAAATCCTGTAAGTTTATTTAGGTAACTCCGTGGAAAAAACGAGTGGTCGTACTGTTTGCGTATTGTGTAATATATGCTAGTCAGTTAACTACACATGAACAGCGCAAATGCATCTTTTCCGTTCGTTAATTCAATCGTTACAGTTGAGGGGAAAGCAAGTCTCGCCACCACAATTAAGATATTAAAAAAGTAGTTGTTTTTCTAAATGTAAAATAATTGGTTTAACTTTTAAGCACGTTGTTATTTTTTTGCTCCGCGGCAGCGGAAGGCACGATAGCGCTTTCCGAGTTTGGTTCGCTGGCCACGTCTGCTAGCCAATCACACAAGGTCGTTACAAACACGGTTTCTAGAAAGAAATGAAATGCTAACCTCAGGAGGTTAATCGGGAATCTAGGCCTACACGGTTACAGTCGACAAAACCGACCGTGAACTACAAAACCGGGCCTTTATCCAGCCTCTAGCTTGTAAACTAGGTATCCTACAAGCAAGAGTTGGAAAAGAAACCCGAAAGGATAGGCGTTCCTGTACACTGGAGAGGGGAATGGTGGCTGGTATTTCTCCTTTCTTTTTCCTCTGTTGGGGAAACATACTTCCATCATGGTCTTTAAAGTACACTGAAGCTCTTTTAAAACCAAGAGCAGAAGGCATTTCTTTATGCAAAGAGTTAAAGGAGTGTGGAACACGCTCACCTGCCATGTTGTTGGTCCATACCCTGGATTATTTAAGACATGACCGGATGAGATCCTCCAGTCAGGACATGAGGTACTTGATACAAAAGTAGTTTATTTGCCGTATGTACACATACATTGGAACTGTGCTGATCTCTTGGGACATAAACAGACAACACCACCCAATGTAGACAACGGGAACATCTCCCACAAGGTTGTGGGAGTCTGGAACAAGCTGGCCAGCCATGTTGTTGAAGACGACGCCATGCCGTTTAAAAAAAACTTGAGGTGAGATCCTGGGATCAATTAGAAACTACCAAAGGAGCTAAATGAGCTGATGGGCTTCCCTTGTTTTTAATCACTCTTTTGCCTCAGCCACCCTGTTCCTAAAATACATATACATGGCATAGTTTGTCAGAACTTCATAGTTTGTGAGTGACTTATTCTATCTTCCTGTTAGTACGAGTACCCTCTGCTTCGGGGTTCACAGTTGTCACGTCTGATTTCAGAGCTCGTTTTAAGGACTTTCATCACCTTCAGTGTCCCACTCTGTCGTCAGTTGTGTTTGTCGACTTAGCCCCTATGATTATTAAAAATGCCTGTGAAGTCGGTTAACTTGGAATTATCTTCCCATGTGAGTGTTAGATGGATTACTGATGGATGGATCTTTTTAATTGTTTCAATTATGTTGGGGTTTAAAAAAAACACTTTTCCTATAAATTAAGGCTCAACATTTCTTTTTTATATGCTCCCAAAGTCTTGGCACAGAGCCCTGTATCCACATTGTTAATGATCATCTTATGGGATGAGCTCTGACCTGACCTACATGAGACCCTCTCCTCTGACACCACTGCATGCCATAAGGGCTCTTGTTTCATTGGCTAATACCAACCCCTGTATACCTCCAGTCATATCCAGTCCAATGCCAGTTCTGCACTGTGACCAGTGACGGGTCAAACATGGGTTCGAACGCGAGATGTCACTTGTGGAACTGATCCTGCACTCGAAGTGACCGGCACTGTCGTTTGACTCTCAGTTGAATCTCAGTGAAAACTCCTGCCCCAGCAAGCCCAGAACACTTTTTGTTTTTAGAAATTTTGATGCAATAATCTTGTTCTTTTCTTTCCTGAAGTGCATCTGACCTCTTGTCATATGTGAAAGGAACAGTTACTCTTCAGCAGTTCTTGTGAAAACACTTGGAACATGTAGGGATGGGGATGGTAAAGTATGGTAGAGAGAAGTAGCTTCTAGTAGTAGTGTGTACTTAAACATTTCAGACTGCAGTAGCGGTTTTGGAAACCCAGCCTGGTCCAGCTCAGGACAAAGCAGAACAGGACTGGGGCACGCTGGTTCTTAAGGCCTGGGTTCGCAGTGGATTAACAGCTGTTTTGATGAAGTTGCTTAAGACCAAAGAAGGCAGATCTGATGTCTTACTTAAATAATGAATTGTTGAGTAATTCAGATCAGGGGTGGGCTGTCTGGTTAATGTTCCTCGGGTGATCTAAATGAACATTTTAACAAGTTGTTAATTGGAGCGTGATGATGGCTCCTGTTGTGGGATGTCTGTGAGCCTTGATGGCCTTTTCCTCAGTGTAGTAACTCTGGACCGTCTCTCTCCTCCAGCAGGATGGCGCAGCAGCAGACCTTGCGGTTCCGTGGCCCCGCCCCTCCCCCCAACCCCGTGATGCGCGGGCCCCCTCCCCTGATGAGACCCCCGCCGCCGCCCTTCGGCATGATGAGGGGGCCCCCGCCCCCGCCGCGGCCACCTTTCGGGCGCCCGCCCTTCGACCCCAGCATGCCCCCCATACCTCCGCCGGGAGGGATGCCGCCACCCATCGGCCCCCCGCACCTGCAGGTAGGGGTACAGCAGCGGGGGGAGGTTCTGAGCTCCTTTCCCCCCGTGTGGAGACGTGAGGCGTTGTGAACTGGGATCCGTTCAGAGCCACTTGTGAAAGCCCCTCCGTAGTACAGGATCAGGGAGGGGGATTTTGTTTTTCACTGGTGGAAGAAAATGCATCTTTAAAATGAACTTGTTTATTCGTTTCTGGACACGTGACTGTAGCCTCAGCAAAAGGAGCCCTATGGTTCATAAGATTAAAGAGTCACCATGCTGTCGCTGAGATAGACTTGAGTAATATGTTTGCCATCCATTGTAGTGGTTTGTTAGTTTTAGTGTTGTTACCTTCCTTTGAGGTTTATAACAGGGAGTGGAAATGTGCTCATTAATATTTTGATTGTGGCAGCTGTGGCTTTGGAGTGTGAAGGAATATTTCTGACTAGGATTTTCTCTGGGAACTGGCTTGAGACTTGCGTCAAAGCAGATTGTCATTTAGTTTAAAACTGCTGCTAGTTGCGCTTTACCTAGCCAGAGGCTGAGTAATTAGAAAGTGGTATCACTTTGCTTTATTGCAGGGTCTAATTCAGTCATGTGGGCACTCAGTGCTTCAGTACATCCAGATAAACGCAAAAGCTCTAAAATTTAAAGCTGATGTCTATTCATGCTTCTCTAGTTTCTTTGAAATCTGCTTTGTATTGTGCAATTTTTCGGCCACTGATTACTGATTTTGTTTTTCCAGAGACCGCCTTTTATGCCTCCACCCATTGGCAACATGCCCCCCCCTCCAGGAATGATATTTCCCCCTGGAATGCCCCCTGTGCCTACACCTGGCACCCCTACACTGCCCCCAGCTGAGGAGATCTGGGTGGAAAACAAAACCTCTGAGGGAAAGGTAATATGCCGGCATATGCAGCAGAACGAACAGGGAAATTGTGCATTGAACTGTAGTGTTAATGTGCTAAACTCATAATTCATCATCTTATGACACTGTATTTGAAAAAGAAGCAGTGAGCTGTGGCTCTTGTGATCTCCTCATCTATAGCGCTTTATTCGGAAGAGTGGTTTTATTTTGAGACATAGTTTTAAAGAATATGAATTTGGTATGGCCGGTTCCCCCAATCAGAAAGCAAGGTTAAGTGATATGGGGCAAACAAAACGTGCGACAGAGAAAATGGATGCATCCAAAGTTTTAGAAGGTGCAGGATGAAATTTGATGAAGGAAATGAAAAATCGTACAAGGGTGCACAGCATGCACGCGAGAGAATTGTTGAACACCGGGGCGTAAGCGATAAGTATCGAGTTCTTTTGCGCACGCAGATGTCACTGCTGACATCACTGCCGTCCCTCTCCTCCTCCTCCTCCTCCTCCTCCTCCCAGGTGTATTACTACAACGCGCGGACGCGGGAGTCTTCCTGG